ATAAATAAATAAATAAATAAATAAATAAATTTGTCTCATTAAAACAATTACCAGTCTCTGGAAATGTCAGATTTGATTATGATAACATGTACATTGGTTAACTCTCATTTGGACTGCTGAACATATTCCACATAGGGCTGTTTCTGTAGCCGTCTAGAACCTTCATTAGGGCCAAAATACTGCAGCAAGACAGCTGACTAAGGCTGGCTATAGTGAACGTATAATTCCCTTACTCAAACAGCCTCACTGGCTAACATTCAAAGTGATGATTTGCCATATAAAGCTCTAAAAGATGAGTTTGTCTGAGTTCTAAGCTCTTAAAGTGAGGGGCCTTTTTTCAGTCCCACCACTCTAAGGTACTTCCGATGAGAACTTGAAAAAGAGTACCTTTTCCTCAGGGAGGCTCGACTGGTCCCTCTCTGCTCTCCAGTTGCCAGCTGGCAAAGATCTGCTTCTTTAAACAAGTCTGTAGCTTTTTATTGTCGTGATGTTTTTAGTAAGTAATGTTTTATTTCCTTTAACTGATCTAAATTAACATTTCAGTTGTTGTTTAATGCTTTTTAAAATAGTGTTACAGTGTTACAGTTTTTAGTTTTTAGTTATTTTAAGGTGCCATATACGTTTCTTAACATAGTCCTGTATTTGGGGGAGGGGGGTGTCAGAGAAATATATAAATAATTAAAATATGTATACATTCCCAGCCTTTAATCAAGATAAGGCATTGAAGATGACATTCCTCAACCAAAGTTCTAATTAAACATTACAACAACATTGTTTTTTATTGTAGTTAAATGTTTACTAGAATTAAATTCTGATCATGAGGAACCTGCATACTTCAACTTTCATTAATTTCAATACCAATAAAAGGGAGAACAAATGCTGACAAGAACAGGGAGAAAGAATTTGCGCCATATTTTATCACTACTGAAATCTTAAAAATAAGGGCCCACAACAGCATTCTGAAATAGCAAATGCGCACATACAAGAATATGAATGACTGTGGAAGATGTTCCATTACTTGGTTCTTCATTAGGTGATAATAATAATAATAATAATAATAAT